ATGCTGCAAAATGGGGCTAGAAGGCAGCTTAGAAGCTCTGCCAGGAGGCAGAAAGCAGGAGATACTGAGCAGGGAGGAGTGTGAACCCACAGGAGATTAAACATGTGGACCATTGGGACCACGCTCTGTCTTTGCCCCTACAGGACAGGGATCCTGGGCAGTCCCAGGACAAGGGTTTTCAGTGCAGAGTATCTCGAAAAGTGAGCAAGGATTATGCTTCTTCTCTGAAGTGGGAAGCAGGACCTGTTGCTGGTGGGTCCATAGCTGCTGTCTACAAGAACACCTTGAATATTCCCTACAACAAAATTGGTAGGGGGAATAGTACCCTTCAAATGCATAGTTGCCAGGTAGGAGCAAAGTGATTTCACTAGCAGTTATGTAGTGAGGACCCAGCAAGAGTGACTTACTAACCCTCTTCTTCAGCAGTGTGGGACAAAGCATCCCCAGATGCTGCTGTTTGGTACAGAGCCAGCCTCCCATCCCGGAGGGAATATCATGCAGTTCATGGAATCACAGAATGGTTAAAGGACCTCTAGAGATCACGCAGTTCAACCCCTCTGCTCAAGCAGGCACACCTACAACATGTGGCACAGGGTGGCATCCAGGTGGGTTTTGAAGACCTCCAGAGAAGGAGACTCCACAACCTCCCTGAGCAGCCTGTTCCAGGGCTCTGGCACCCTCACAGTGAAGAAGTTCCTCCTCATCTGGAGATGGAACTTGCTGTGTTTCAAATTATACCCCTTTCCCCTTGTCCTGTCACTGGCCGTCACTGAGAAGAGCTTGGCCCCTTCCTCCTTACATTCTCCCTTCATGAAGGTATACATGTTTAAACAGATGCTCTCTCAGCCTTCTCCAAGTTAAACAGGTCCAACTCACTCAGTCTCTCCTCCTGTGAGAGATGTTCCATTCCCTTCATCATCTTTATAGTTCTCTGCTGGACCCTCTCTAGAAGCTCCACATCCCCCTTGTCCTGGGGAGCCCAGAATCGCACCCAGTGCTCCAGCTTTGCCTTCCCCAGAGCTGAGCAGAGGGGCAGGATTCCCTCCCTGCCCTGCTGCCAACATCCTCCCGATGCAACGAGGAGCCCATTGGCCTTCTTGGCCACGAGGGCACTGCTGACTCATGGTTAACTTGGTGTCAACCAGGACTCCCAGGTCCCTCTCCGTGGAGGTGCTCTCCAACAGGTCAGCCCCTAATCTGTGCTGGTGTCTGGGGTTATTCCTCCCCAGGTGCAGGACCCTGCACTTGTCCTTGTTGAACCTCATGAGGTTCCTCTCTGCCCAACTCTCCAGCCTGTCCAGGTCCCTCTGGATGGCAGCACAGCCCTCCGGAGTGTCGGCCACTCCACCCAGCTTGGTGTCATCTGCAAACTTGCTCAGGGTGCATTCCGTGCCCTCGTCCAGGTCATTGATGAACAGGTTGAACAGCACCGGGCCCAGTACTGACCCTTGGGGGACACCCCTGGCCACAGGCCTCCAACTGGACTCGGCCCCATTTATCACCACCCTCTGAGCTCTGCCATCCAGCCCGTTCTCAGTCCACCTCCCAAGGTGCACTCAGTTGCCGCTAGCTAATTCTTCATCATAATTAATTGAAGAGCCACTCTGAAAGGCTTCACTAGGAGGTGAAGTACCACCGAGATGGACTGTCAGTATCCAAGATGAGGGCAACCTTCACAAGGGTCCCAGATGTGACCTGGCACTGGCGAAGAACCTCAGAAAAAGCACTTCTGTGTTGTCCCAAATTTTCCCTCTTAACTACATTCCCATTTTGGAAATCAAGACCCTCATTTTTCATGGGCTGGAATTAATGCCTCCATCAATGATGGTCCTGTGACCTGAACTGGAACTACTTTCCAGTAGTCACAGAACACATTGCTCCTCCTGGAGCAGTAAATCACCATTATTTTGCATATAGGATGCTGAAGTTTGATTTGTATTCATTAATCTGAGAATTTACATGATTTGCTGTGACACTCTGACTAGAGATGCTAGCATTATTTGACAACACAAAGGGACAATTATTCCTGCTGGGCCTTATCTCTGGCAATGACAAGCAGCAGCAAAGCATCACAATCTGTTGAGAAAATAGAAGTAAAAAACAAACAAACAGGGACATTATGTCTAAGATAGTGTGGTGATTTTTTCTTATTTCCCTCTTTCTTAGCATTGTTGACTACAGAAGGCCTGTTTTTGACAAATAGCTATTTTTGCCCCTCTTTCAAGGAATGCTGGTATATCCAGCTGAGTGGTGGAGCAACGATCAGCGTCCAACTGGAGAGCACGAGGAGAGATTTTATTTATTTTGTTGTATAATTAGCCTGGCTTCTGGGAAATGAACCTTTCAAAGGCATTGATTGATGACCTTTGCAGTGACCCTGACACTGACAGTCACATCTGATCAAGGTTAATTGCCCGTTAGAAAAGCGCAGCTTCCACATCAGTAATTATTTAATCTTCATTCAGCAGAAGGGCACGGTTTTGCTATTGGGAACAACATATTCAATACTAGAAAATGGACCTGTATAATTTTTTTCTGGACCTAATAGCTCTTAATGCTGGTTCCATCCTACCTCTAGGAAACAATGCTCATTAATGACGAATTTTGAAAAAAAAAAAAAAAAATCAGATGTTATTTTGGTGTCCCAGCTTTTTGCTTTGTAAGAGGGATAATATTTTTTCGTTAACCCAGTGGCTGCAGTTGGAAGGCAAGCTTGCAGGAGAACCTTCTTATTTGCATTGATGCAGATAACTGCTGTGGACCATGTGGAGCTATGACGTGCTTTGCCATTCGTGCCTTGAAGGGTCCTCATGGTTTTGGAGAAGGAAAATCCCCCCGGTGCATGGACATCCCTCTGCCAGGATCCTCTGAGGGCACCCAGGCTCCGAGGAGCTTTCACGTCGTTTCTCCTCAAAATCACTCGGGGCCTCAGGTATCCACAGAATGACATTTGCTTTGGTGCCGCTCAGTGGGCAGGATTCACAGGACCCAAATCTTGACTAAAACCCAGGATGTGCAAGGAAAACACGTCCGCACGCCCTTACGCTTGACGTCCAAGAAAGGTGAACAGCAGCTTAGTCCATAAGCAATTTACTGGTGAAAATACAGGAAGTTAAACAACGCTGGTAAGTTTTTAACAAAGCACAAGTATTTATTATTACTAAAATCGTGTAGAGGAGTGCAAGTTCATCACTTGCCTTATTGCCAAGTGCATGCTGATACGGACTGTCAAAAATGACATACAACAAAGATACAGGATGGAGATAGACTGTATATATTTAATGTAAAAGTTTATATAGAGCTGTGAAAAGCAGCAACTGAAGAAAGCTCAAGAGATCTTGTCGTCCATCTGCCACCCTAAAGGACAACAGCTCCGCTAAGCCGTCCCAGAAGGATTCGATCCCTTCCGTCCTGGAGATTCCAGCACCAGGGACAGCTGCTTCCCAAGGCGCATCCCTCACACCACGGTTCACGGTCACCTTCTCCTACACTCAGTTGTCCAACTGCACAGAGAGAGCCACGTCTGGACACAGCGCAACGAAAATAAGAAGGGAGAACATGCAGTAGGATGCTGCTGGTTTTAACTAAGCTCGGCTACACATACCCAAAATACCATGAATTCGGCTACATTCAGACTCCCCTGAAATTGCAATTTCTGCACCAGCTTATTACTGAAAACATTGAATAATTGAACAAATAAGAGAGCTCCCTTCAGATCCCTCGTTGCCTTTTCTTGCCTTTTCGATGATGAATAATTGATAGCTTCTCTTTGAAAACATGTTTTCAATGAGTGTTGCCCTCACTGTGTAGCCGTTTTGTTTAGATCAGTTTCTCCTTCCTTGTTTCTGATTATAGACATGAAATGTGTCACAATTATAACTGAAGTCAAGACAGATTTAGTTTCTCTCTATCCCGCCTTCCAGAGTACAAAGGCATAATACTCTGACTAAAGCACAAGTGAGATTGCTTTGTCACGATTTATTACTAAGAAATTCATGTTCATTGCTGATGATTTCCTTGCCCGGTCACGCACGCTTTGTAACTACTTGGTATGCTTGTTGAAAGGTTCTTCACTAAATTCAAGTCAATAGGACTGTCTCCCATTTCCCATTTCTTCTTTGCCGCTTCACTCCTTGAGAAGTCAGGCCCTTGGGCTCCCTTCCTCTACGGAGCTTTGCGTTTGCGTCCACTTCATGCTGAGGAGAGAGGATGGACTGAAGAGCGACCAGACGCAGCGCTCGGCAAGAGCTGTGCACAGAGCAGGCTCTGTTAGAGCAGCTCTACATTCCCCTCTGCTTCATAACTCCCTTTCCCAGCCCCAGACCCTACCCTCGACGTGATGAGATAAAGCCTGGATAAACCCCAGATTCCCTTCCTGGATCTCCACATTCCCCTTCCATCCACACTCCACAAAAAACCCATACCCATTCCGATCCAGTGCAGCACCAGAATTTGTGCAGCATTCAGGAGAGGGATTCTTCTGAGGAAAAGTGCAGTGAGATTTAAAGCAGGCTTGCTCATGCACCTCTGGTGCTCTTAGGAGCAAGGAATTCCCGCAGAAGAGCATGGATGGTTCCCCAGATATTGGTTGCTCCTCTCATCACTGTCTGGCCATCATGGTTCTTGATGCCGCCCTCATCCAGCTGTCCTGAGATGTGTAGTCACCCACCAGAGACCCCAGTGTGTCATGGGGGACACATGAGAAGGAATGAAAGAATTTTCACACGGAATATGTGCAGCGGGAGAGCCGTGTCATGAGGATGTGCATCAGTAGCTGTTGTGTATTTAGTCTAAAAGTAATATATATATATATATAAAATATGTGCAAAGGAAAGTGCGATGTCAGTTCTCCCTCTCCAAACACCTCCACAGGAGAGAAGGATCACAGGCTCTGCAATTCTGCAGGAAATCATACACATGTGTAGGCACTTCATGCCACCCTACACAGAGGTGTGGAGGGCCTATATGATCCCGGTGCATGAGATGTCAGAGGAGGTCACTCAGATTCCCTTCCTCTGGAAGAGCAGGACCACTCTGTCCCGGATCTGCTTGGTTCTCACCCCATACACAATGGGGTTTAACACGGGGGGCAGCAGCAGGYAGAGAATGGCCACCACTATGTGGACGTGGTGAGGGACGCTCTGCCCAAAGCGGTGCGTGAGGAAAGTAAAGAGGGCAGGGGTGTAAAGGGTCAGCATGACACAGACATGGGATGCACAAGTGCTGAAGGCCTTGAGCCTTGCCTCTGTGGATGGCAGCCTCAAGACTGCTCGCAGGATCATGGTGTAGGACACAAATATCAGCATCAAATCAAACACCACCACCAAAAAGCCTGCACAGAGGCCATAAAGGGCATTGACTCTGGTGTCCCCACASGCCAAATTCGCCACCGCCATGTGCTCACAGTAGGCATGGGAGATGACAGTGTTCTGGCAGAAGGACAACCTGTGGAGCAGGAAGCAGATGGGAATCMCCAGGACAACGCCACGCAGCAGCACCAGGCTCCCAAGCGTCACCACCACGGGCACGGAGAGGATGCTGGAGTGCTGCAGGGGGTAGCAGATGGCAACGTAGCGGTCCAAGGCCATGGCCATGAGCA